ATGAGGGCAACAAATGTATAGATGGGCTTTACACAATTGATCTATGTATTGTGATGAATTGTATAAGCCCCAATAAATTGATTTAAAAAAAAAAAAGAAAGAAGCACTTCTGAGCATCGACCAGGGTCCCATTTTTTTATTGATCCATAATGGCTTGAACCAAATGCAAAACCAAAAAAACCCCTGTCTTCTCTGCCTTGCGCTCCACTCTGGAGGTACACAGGCCTCTATCCAGCCTGTCGGTTCCCATAGTCAACAACAATTGGCAAATCAGCTTGGCTCCGGTCCTCCCAGAACTGCAAAGCCTCTGCTCCCAGCCGTGTTTGGGAAAATCATACTGATGCTCCCCACTCCCTTGTCCTAATCCGAAAGCACAGTAAATAGTTCGAGTGTAACTATCTCCCACGACTGGCAAGTCAGGCCATATGTCCATTCGAGGCTGAATCGCACCAACGAGAAACATGCTGGGTCATTCCTCCGTGGAAAATCCACCAATGACTTTCCATCCCTCTGGGTAAAGACCAGCCTCTGGATCACAGGGCCCCAAAGCCCCCGTACCATCTGCCCACACCCTACCTCTGAAGCCCCATTTGGTACAACTCCTAACTGCACTTCAGCGGACTGGCCTGCCTGGATCTTGTCTCACGTCTTCACCCACCACTGGGCCTTTGCACATGCTGCTCCCCTTCGATGTCTGCTCCCCTTAGATGTCTACTCCCCGTGTCTCTAGGGGAAGCCTTCCCTGGCTCTTCTTGCTCCTAAACTAGGCCTAGTGTACACTTCGTGCAGTCCGTGCCTCACTGGTCCAGCGTACTCTTACATAGATTCTCACGCTGTGGTTAGAATACCCTCCACCCCCGGGTCGGAGCCCAGCCAGGCTGAAGGACGGTGTGAAGATACCCTGCTATGGCACCTCAGGAGTGAGCACGGTGCCTAGCACACAGGAGGCACTCAGAGCCTGCTCGAAAGAGCAAACGAAGGTTTTAAAAGCGGACATTGAGTAGCGGGACTTCCCCTCCAGGAATGTACCTAGAGGAAACCAGCTTGCTTTTACAGACGAAGGGACTTCAGGTTGCCTGCCTCCTCCGCCTCGGGCTGGGCACTGGGCCCGGGCTCCTCACCTGCAGCTTGTGGACCCTGTCGTTGAGCTCGGCGCGGGCCCGCTCCCCGTCGCTGCACTTGGACTGCAACTCCTGCAGCTGCACCTCCAGCTTCTTCTTCTTGTGCTCCACCTCCTGCTTTGCCTGGTTCAGGACCCGCAGCTCCCCCGTCAGGTCCGCGTTCTCCTTCTCCAGCGTCTGCTTGTTCTTGTCCAGGTTGGCTTTCGCCTGGACAAGCAAGCAGAAGGCACAGAGGGCGTGACTGCTGTGGCCCGGAGAGAGTGGGAGGACGGTAACTCTGTGTGGGCCTCCTCCCTGCCCTTGCCTCACCAGAGGACAGACCCAGGGACCCAGTGGGTACAGGACAGGCTTGCTGGTAAAAATCTCAGGGATCCCGTCTTCCTAAAGCTGCAAACTGGCATCCCAACGCTATACCCGAATGTTCCTCATGTCCTAGTGGTTCAGTCTGTACTCCCCACCACCCCCTTCCCCATTTTCAATTTTTAATTTGTTGCCAGCATTTCAATAAAGAAATTTAGCATAAACATCTCAATCCCCAAATTGTCTTTTTAAAAGAAATATCTAATGTTCCATTATCATGACTGTGAATGTGATTACCCAAGAGTATGCACTTGTCAGATTGCTTTGAACTATACGTTTAAAATCAGTGTATTTGACCGTGCCACGTGCCTTTTGCAAATAGCACACCCGGGTCAATAACACACGTAAAATGGGCATAAGTGAGGACAGTACATTAAAAGATCCTGGGACAGCATCACCCATGCATACATGGCACAGGTCTCCCGATGTTCCCAGAAGTGAACTTGGGCCTCGCCCACCCTCATTCAATCGTCTGAAATGTTGCTTTTGATCTTGTTTGTATAATAAAGGTATAGTCATGGTCAGAATTCCTGGGCTGAGTTTGGTAGTACCATGGTCATTGGAAATAACATTGATTTCTATGGGGCAGTTCTTAGGCTGCACCTAAGAGCATTGGATTCCCTTGAAGCTTATATCTGCCCAGTGATACTGGCGGCCTGCTGGCAGGGTCACCACAGCCCAAGCACAGGTTGGTCACACAGCGACAGGAGCCATCGCCCAGTAGGTCCAGGTCACATGGTGCCAGCCTCAAGTGAAGCTGGCCAGGGCAGGGGCCCTGTGAAGGCTCAGTCAGGCCCGAACCTCCTGTATTCGTGGCTTTCATGCCCACCCTGCAGCTTCTGCATTGGCAGTGCACTCATCTGGCCCAAATGTGGCAGCCAGACAGCTGGGTGGAAAACCGTCGGGGCTGCCTTGCCTGCTCACCCTCCTCCTGGGCTGGGGCTGGCTGCCTTGGCAAGAGCTGAAGCCAGGAAGGGGAGGTGGGGGGGGGCACTCTGAGGTGATTTCTTCCTGCCTTTGGGAAAGCAGTTTGTAGAGCAGGGAAGGAATCCTATTGGGAGAGGGGCCTATTTCAGAAACTCAGAGAAGGCTGGTGCATGTCCATTGCTGGGAGCCAAACCTCCGTGTCAGCTGGCACCAAAGCCCAGGCTTAACACTAAATCCACCAGACAGGGGAGAAAATGAAAATGGATATCAGGACCATGTACAAGGAGAATTGGTATGATGCAGTATGGAAATAACGGGCAAGGTTTCCCTGCACGCAAACACTTATCGTGAGCTTGCTGCATAAAACATAACCTCAATAATGCCAACATAAAAAAGTCTGGGAACCAGTCTTGCCACCCTGCAAGGTACAGTCAACCTGATCTAAGGAGTGGCCGGCCCTGTTGGTGGGGCCTTCTCCAGTTTGCCGTAGCCATGGGCCCCACCTCCCTGTTTTCCTTCTTGGACACCATCAAATGCACACTGCTACTCCTGGGGGAGAAGGTTATTTGACCTGTGCTGTTCCCATAGGCAGGCGTGTTTCTAGGGGCTCGGTGGGGGATGGGGAGCAAGAAAGAGGAGGGGACTTCTCCCAGGGCAAAAATAAAAAAGGGAAGTGTGTGGGTCCCAAGTACACAGGCGACATACCATTTGACTTTCTCGTCTGCCCAGAAAACAGTTCCCTGCCCCAAACAGGCACTGCCGGACCTCAGGAACAGGCACCTCTCAGAGTCCCAGAGCAGGCAGGTGAGCATGCACTTTAAGGGACCTGGGCTCACGGAACGCTCCAGAGCTATGGCAAGGCTACAGGTATGTGTGCTGAGCTTTGCATCCCTGGTCCTCCAACAAGCAGGTAAAACAAGAGTTCCCAATCAGAACCGAGCTGTGCAGTGAAACACAGCTCACGCTCCCAGTTCACCCGAAGTGCAGGGCTGGGGTCGCAGCCTTGACCTGTATTCCTGCAGTGCAGCTGAGCGCCCCAAGGCAGCTCTGGGTCTCAGCCTCTGCTCACCTCCAGTATCCACCCCCTAGCAACTTTCCTGGGACCCCCATTCTTCCCATTGTACACTTTATTTATTTTATCATTTTATTAGGGGCTGATGCAACCTTTTTCTTTCTTTTTTTTTACAGTGAGTGAATGAGACAGTGAGAGTGAGTCTGTGAGTGAGAGAGACAGTGAGTGAGTGCAACCCTTATCACAATCCGTACGCCCATTGTAAATTTTAAAGGGACATGTTCCCCTGACTGTTGTGTTGAGGGTTAATTATTCAGAAGGTATATTTTTAATAAAGGTTTTTTTTTTTAAGGGAAAATCATTGAAAGGGGAAAAGGTATATTACACATCAGTCATACATTAGTATGGAAAATCGCTGCAAGGGAGAAAGGCATATCATACATTAGTGCAGAAGGGACCTGTCCCGGGGGAAAGCCATCATGCTTAGGCTAGGGTCTGTGAACCAGAAAAAGACCCCAAGGAGACGGACTGACACAGGGGCTGCCACGACGCGCTCACACACAGCAGTCACTGGGAGGACGGGGCAGGGCCCGCAGTGCTGCCTTGTTTGGGGTGCATGCAGGGCTTGCCCTGGGCTGGAACGGACCTGACAGCACCCAGCAACATAAATGGGAAAAAAGAGTCTTATTTGTATAAAATATGGACAGCACTGAAAAAACGTGGCTCTTGTTTGGTGCTGTTGAGTCGGTTCTGACCCGTAGCGCCCTTACGTGAACCAGAACGAAACACTGCCCGGTCCTGCGCCACCCTCGACCACTGTCCCTAGGTTCCAGCCCGTTGTTGCGGTCACTGTCTCAGACCATCTCGTCGAGGAGCTTCCTCTCTTTGCTGCCCCTCCGTGCTGCCCAATAGGAAGTCCTTCTCCAGAGCGGTCTCTCCAGTGTAGGTTAGTGTTCAGATTCTGCTGGACAGTGGACACGGGCAGGCTGGGGTGAGCTCAGGACTGAGGGTGAGATTCGAACTCTGCATTGTTAACAGTGCCCCGGGTGAAATGAAATCAGCTGAAAGGAGCCCTCGTGCCACGTGTTGGGCTGCCAACCACTAGGTCAGCAGTTCAAATCCCTGCCAGCTGCTCCTTGGGAGAGAGATGAGGCTGGCTGCTCCCATGGCGATGTACGGGGCGACTGAGTCAGAACGGCCTCTCTGCAAATGCTTCTGGGTGGGTTCCAAGGGCCAGAGAGCTACACTCTGCCCAGGGATCCGCCCCCTGGGTCCTGGTCTGTGGTTCTTGGAGGCTGTTGGCCGGCTGCTTGTGCCCCGACTCTCCGGCTTACCCTCTTGAACTGCTCCAGTTGCTCCGTGAGCTCCTCCACGGCCTGCGTGTGCTTCTGCCTCATCTCCTGGACCTGCGCCTCGTGGGACCGCGTCTCCTCATCCAGGGCCTTCTTCAGCACAGTCACCTCCTGCTCCCTCTTGGCCCTGGACAGGGAGGAGACAGAGAGGATGCATTTGGGGGGAGACAAAGGGTGCTCGGTGCTGTGTTGGCGCAGGGACCGGAGCTGCACCAGACTCCTGAGCTTCCAAGCGGAAGTCTTCACTCTCCCCGCCGGATGTCATGTGACCTTGGGAAATGTCCTCAAATGTCCTCAGCTATAAAACAGCATTGCATCACGTTGCCTCCCCAGCATATCTCATAGGCCCATCAAACAAGTAAAGGAAATAATGCCATTCAGAGAACTGTGTCACTGCTGTTCAGAGCACTTTCTACGGTGGCACGGAGCTCCGGGGTGGTGCAAAGGATGAAGTGCTTGGCTACGAACCTGAAGGGCGGCGGTTTGAATCCACCCAGAGACTCCTTGGGAAGAAGGCCTGGGAAGCTAGTTCTGGAAACCCAGCCCCTGAGAATCAAACGGAGCACAGTGCTGCCTGAAACACGGGGTCACTGTGAGTCGGGACAGACGGACAGGCAACTGGTTGAGCTTGAGTGGTTGTGTTGGACTCTGTGCCAGGCCCTGCGCTAAGTGCTTTAGACACACCATCTGCTTGAGTCTTTACAGACACTTCAGAGGCAGGTATGACAAGAAGGATAAGGCTCGAGGCAGGGAGTAGCTTGCCCATGAGACAATCTACGAGGCCCATTGATGGTAGTAAGGCCTCTCAATCAACACAAGTGAGCCAGATTCTGAATGCAAGTCTGAGCTTTTACTCACTGCCCTGGGCTCTGGGTGGTGGACTGTGGTGTTGTAGCCTCCAGGCACGGGAAACTGATGTAGCACAAACCCAGGTGTGAGGCTGTATCTCAGGGCACACAATGCCGGCATACGGCTGACACGTGAGAGATGCTCAGAATATACTCACTTATAGTCAAACCTGCAGACGCAGGAACCTGAGGAGGGAAGGAAGCCACCGATATTTTCCACCAGACAAAAATGCCAAGAAAGTGCTCACACTGCACCCTGTCGTGGAAAGTCCCAGAGCAAGGAGGTGGGCCCAGAGACTGCAGTTCTCACAGGTGTGACCGTGTTTGTTGAATGAACAAAGGACTCAGTGTCACTGGAGCAGAATTGATTACCTGCAAAGTGATCTTAGTGTTCTGACTGCTGTCCGTCTGCGGTGACTCTTGACTCCCCAATCCCAAATGTGATCGACAGGATTTTAGAAACTAAACACTAAGACACATACACAAGAGGACTTCAAAATTTCCTGGAAAATTCTATTTCAATATACATGCATCTACACATACATATGTGCATACATACATATGTACACATGCATATATGCATACTTACATGAGGACTTCAAAAAGTTCATGTGAAAATGGAATTGAAGTTCTATTTCAATTCCATTTCCCCATGTACATATGTGTGCATATGTATGTGTGTGTGTGCACGCATGCATGCATGTGTACATGTATGTGCAGGCATATCTATTTGTGTATATGTATACACATGTACGGGTGTATGTATGAATGGATGTATACACATATATGTGGGTGGAAAAGTAACTGAAGAGCAAGCTCATTGCTGTTAGGTGCTTACCAGCTCCAGCAGCCTGGTATTGATAGCTGTTGTTTTGGAAATTAAACACAAGAACTTAGATGGAAAAAAAGGGTGCCACCAACTCAACTCTGACACCTGGCACTACTGTGTGTGTGAGTGCATGCATGTGTGTGTGTGTGCGTGTGTGTGCATGTGTGCATGTGAGTAGAAATGTGCTCCACGGGGTTTTCAATGGCTGTTTTTTTCTGAAAGTAGATCACCAGGCCTTTCTTCTGCAGTGCCACGAGTGGGCTTGACCTTGAGACCATTTGGGTACCAAGTGCACTCACCATCTGCACCACCAAGGACTGACCGGCTGGACGGCTGCGTGCAGCAGGACGGAAGGACAGACTCCACAGTGTGAGCTGTGGGTAATTTTCCTGGTTGTCTTTGAGCATGAACTATTGTTAGGATGCAAAGCGAAATCTAAAACAGTCGTCCTCATAGTAGAGCCAGCTGGACGCAGGAAGGTCAGTGTAGCGCCCACGAGGTCCCGCGAGTCGGGATTTGCTCGGGGCCGTGCCCCCTCGTGCTGAGCTCTCACCTGAGCTCCTGCTGGGTGGCGGTGCTGTCCAGCGTGTCCTCCAGCTCCGTCTTCAGTGCCTCCAGCTCCTCCCCCAGGTCGCGCTTCTGCTTCTCAGCCTTGTTCCTGGCAGCCCGCTCAGAGTCCAGGTCCTCCTGGAGGTCTGAGATGTGGCCCTCCAGCTCCCGGATCTTCTTCAGGGCATTGTTCTTCTGCGCCATCTCATCTTCCAGCCTACGAGCAGCACCCCCCCAGGATTAAGGCCCCTGCCATCTCCCAACACGGCCACAGGTATTTCTGGAACCAAGCACTCTTATCTCATGGATGTCAAAACGTGTCTCACTGGTGGCCCCAGAGAGAGAGGACCCCTTCCTGCTCTGTGTGGCCGCGTGGTCCTTCGGTGGAACCGGGTGTCCAGTTCTCACTTAGCATAAGAAGCAGGCCACGGGAGGGGCTGTGTTGATGGAATACAAGCCTCCACTCTGCGGAGCAAGGTGCCTGCCTGGTACACAGTCAGACACAGAGCCCCCCACTTCCACTGAGTGCACTCGTGCTCCCCGTGACCCCCTGGGTCAACGACAGGGTTTCCGTGGCTGTCATCGGGGCAGATGACCAGGCCTTTCTTCTCTGGTCCCAGGGAGGGGGAGGGGTGTTGAGCCATCACCTTTCGGTGAGTAGCTGAGAGCACACCATGTGTGTCCCCAGCGACCTCGGCCCTGTTTATAGGAAGGGTTTCGTGGGTGCTTTCTCGAATGGAACAGTATTTTTCCCTTTGCTTGCCTGCTGAGCGCCTACTCCACGCAAAGCCTGGGGAGCCGTCTGGGCCAGGGTCCTCCCCCTGGTGGGTGGAGAGGGGGCCTGGGGACAGAGTGGGCTGCGGGGAGGCGGGGAGTGGGTAGTGTTGCTCCCGGAGTTTCCCTGAGGAAAACTCCCTCCGCATCACAGCGAGTGCCAGGAAGAAGACAGCGTCTAAAATTGATGGTGGTGATGATTGGACGGCTCTTCTCGATAGGACCGAGCTACTGGGATGGGTGGCATGCGGAGGAAGTGCCAACCAAACCGTTCATTAGAAACCACACCGACAAAGAACTCACTCCGGGTTTGACCACGATCGGTGCAGGGGGGACAGAGTGAGGAAGGGGCGGGGGACAGCTCTGCAGGGAGAGGGTGGGATGGAGGCTGCTCAACACAATGACTGAACTTCATGCAAGGTGACTGCACTACAGCAATAAGGGCGCAGCCACAGTCAGGTTAGGTCAGAATGGGTGTGTGTGTCGGGGGGGTGGGGACAGGGGGCAGTGGGGGCTACCAGGACAAGAAGCGGGTTATTGGGGTATGGTAGGGGTATGAGCAGGGTTGGGAGGCTCACTGGTGGTCTGACCCTGCGCCACCCCCACCAGGGACACGTGGACGTACAGTGACAGTCCCCGTGCTCGGGGTGCTACCTGGCCAGGGCCGCCTGCAGCTCCTCCTCCTTCTTGGCCAGTTGCACCTTGAGCTCTGCGATCTGAGCCTGGAGGTCGGCGATCTGCTCATGGAAGTCACTGGCCTCGCCTTCCAACTTCCGCTTCAGCTTCTCCAGCTCCTGCCGGCTCTTCTCCTCCTTCTTCAGACGCACTGCGAAGAGCCAGGGGCTCGTCAGGAGTGGAAGCCACCAGAGGCTGCCTTCTGCTCAGGGGAGAGGCACACACTGCCCCCACCTGCCAACAACATCCCTGAAACCGTTAGCCTAAGAGGAAAATAGATTCCCCTCCAAATGCAGAAAAGCTTCCTTTATGATCACGGGTGCGTGTGGTTAACAATACAAATAACAGGAGCCCTGGTGGCAGAGTGGTTAAAAGTCGGGCTGCTAACCACAGATTCGGCTGTTCAAAACCACCAGCTGCTCTTCAGGAGAAAGACGAGGCTTTCTACATCCATAAAAAGTTACGGTCTTGGAAACCCACAGAGACAGTTCTGCCCTGTCCAGCAGGGTTGCTGTGAGTCGGAAAAATATAAATAGCAAAATTTACCATTTCAACAAGTTGTACCTGTACAGCTCAGTGGCATTAATGGTATTTATCATGTGAAGCAGCCCCCATCACGATCCAATTCCAAATCTTCCCATCAGCCTTCCCAGAAGCTCAGAGCTCCCTAGGCAGGCACTCCCCTTCCCCGCCCCCTTCAGTTCCTGGGAGTCAGTCATGAGCTCTGGACTCCTTAAAACCAGACCCACTGCTGTCAAGTGGATTCCGACTCACTTCCGCCCTCTAGGACGGAGCACAACTGCCCGCTAGGGTCTCTGAGATGTGATCCCCACAGAGTCTCATCTTTCTGGTGGGTTCCAACTGCCTGCCTTTCGGCGAGTGGCTGAGTGCTTTAACCACGGTGCCACCAGGGCTCCTTTGGGTCACGACACATTCACCTATGCTAGATCATTCATGGACGTCGCAGCATCCAGACTTGTCCTTCTGTGATGGACTGCTATTGTTAACCTGTAAACCTGTCGGGTCCCGAGGAGAGAGCGTTCACTCAACAGGGATAGGCTGGCTCTCTGGGGATGAAGGATCATTTGGGAGCTTGATTCGCCCTGGAACTCTGGAAAGAACCTGCCATTCTTAGATGGCCTTTCTGATTGTCCTCCTGTTTAAAAATACCCACTCAGACTCCCTTTGGGGAAGTCGGATTACCTTCCAGTTCTGAGATCATAGATTCGTGCTTGTTTTTCAGCTTGGTGAGATTCTTGGCTTTTTCTTCTTCTTCCGCCAGGTTTGTCGTTAAGTCGCTAATTCTCTCTTCAAGGAGTTTTCGCTCCTTTGGGGGAGCAGGGGGCGGAGAAAA